AGGCAATCTAATTATAAAGTTCTTCTGTTTTACTTGTAATCAGCTGAAATGAGGTACATTTTAATTTTCATTTCCAATTATTTGTTGCTAGGACATAGAAATACAATTGATTCTTACATACAGACTATATCCTGTCACTCTATACACCTTATACAAGTTTTTAGTTGTGGTAGCTTTTTTCTAAATCTTTTAGGTCTTTCTGTGAGGTAGGGGTAGGAGATGTTCCCTCTCCTCTATTTTCTGAAAGACTGTAGAATTGGTAACATTACTCCCTTAAATACTTCACAAGTAAAGCCACTTGTGCTTGGAGCTTTCTCTGTGGAAAGGTTTGTAACTATGACTTTAATTTCTTTCATTGATAAAGACTGAATATTCAGATTACATATTTCTTCATGGGTGAGCTTTAGCAGTTTGTCTTTCAAAACATTCCTCCATTTCATCTAAATTGTAGAATTTACTGGAATAAAGTTGTTGATGATGTCTTACCAACCTATAGGATCTGTAGTGATGTCTATTCATTTTTTCTTGATATTGGTAATTTGCTGCACTTATTCTTGATATATTCTGAATATTAATCCTTATCTCATATAGAAGTTGCAAATATTTTCTCCTAATTTATTGCTTTTCTTTGAGATTTGTGGTGTGTTTAGTTGTCTAGAAGGAAAAATTAGATATAATCAATCATACTATTTTTTTTTAACAATTTGTGATTTTCACCTTTTGTCTGAGAAATTCGTTTCACCCACAAGGTCATGAGAATATTTTTCTATATTGCTTTCTAATAGTTTTAAAGTTTTGCTTTTTTCCATTTAGGTCTGTAATTCACTTGGAATTTACTTTTATTAGGGTGAGAAGGACAGACCTAGTTTTATTTTCTTTGATATGGAGATCCAGAGTAGTTCGCTCTTTTCCCATTGACTTGTGATGTTATCTTTAAAGAATGCCAAGTTGTTTTATATGCTTGTTCTTGCTCTGGGATCTCTATTAGGTTCCGTTGTTCCACTTGCCTATTTCTGCATAAATCCTAGATATTCTTCGTAAGTTTCAATATCTGGGAAGTCAGGTCCCCCTGCCTGCTCTTATTTTTCAGGGCTGCAAAAGGTTCAGTGAATATTTTTGGATCTTTACTTTTCCATACAAACACTAGAATTATTTTGCCATGTTCTATGTTAAAGTCTTGTTGTATCTAGGTTCTATCTGGTTCAATCTATGTTCTATCTAAAATCTGGTAAGATTTTAATAAAAGTTGCCCTGGTCACTGATGCAGATGCAACTGCCTCAGCAAAACCAGATGCCTCCATCACCACAGGCTGCAGCTGAAAAACCAACACTTCACAAGCATGGCCTCCACATCTCTCCCATCTTCCAAATTCCAGCTGTCGCTGAGTGATGGACACTAAATCACACCGAGAAGCATGGCTGCAAGGGGCTTTGGGAAGAGTACATATTAGCTTTAAAACCATGGCAGCACAGAGAAGTGAATGGTGGGTTCCCCACTATGAGTGGCAACTTAATAGTGGGTTATGAAATCAATTTATTGAGTTCAATAAATGAGTTACTTTCAATAATTGATTTCTATTAGTGGGTCATAAATGGTGTTTTAAAAAAATGAAACAGAACAGAATATAAGTTATCAGTGTGCCTAGCATGAACAGTTTCATTACGGGTTTGTATATATGTACATATATATACATAAAGTATATATCAGAACTATATATATAAAACTTCTATGAAACAATACTTATACAAATACATATATATAAAATATTTAACATTATATAAATAAGAGATAAGAGAAAGAGAGAATAAGAGGAAGAAAGAAAATCTATATAAAAAAAGAAAACATTTCTTATTATGGATCATGATCAAGAAAGGTTGGAGGTTAAGGTCCCAGAAAGGTGTAGAGAGGCTGTTTGCTAATTCACCACATCTTCTACAATATCTCTTTGTTTGCTAAGGAAGTTTCCTTTTATTCGTCATCTGCCAATAGCTTTTGTTTTGAACAGGTGAGTTTTGCCAAATAAAATTTACATATATATTGAGGTAATCGTTAAGTTCTTTCTCCTTCTCCTTTAATATGTGACACAGATGAATTTTCCAACTCTGTATTATCTTTGCATTTTTCTCTCTAAAAATATTTTTATATTTTGCCCTCACTATTGTGCCCTCGTTATTGGGCCATGACTAACTTTACTACACCTCTGTTCCATATACCACCCATAATTTCTAGCAGATTCTGTATTGCCCAGTTTGTCAAATATGCTACTATATGTCCTGATGCATTCTCTAACAACAAAAAAGGCCTGTGCTGGGGCGTCTGGGTGGCTTAGTCGGTTAAGTGTCCGACTTTTGCTTAGGTCATGATCTCGTGGTTCGTGGGTTTGAGCCCCACATCGGGCTCTGTGCTGACTGCCAGCTCAGAGCCTGGAGCCTGTTTCAGTCTGTGACTCCCTCTCTCTCTGACGCTCCCCTGCTCACACTGTCTCTCTCATTCTCTCCTAGAAATAAATTTTAAAAAATATTTTAAAAAAAAGCCTGTGCTCTGTGATTCTTTATTAAATCAACAAGAAGCCTAAATACCTGTACTTTATTTAGTTTAAAAAAATCCTTTATAGATACCTTTCCAATTTCAGAACCAATGGTCTAATAAGAATTTATAATGGAGGACTAAGTCCCACTGGAGAGCTGTATTTTAATTCTGATATGTTAGGGACAATTATTTCTATGTTTCTGTTAGGAATATAACATCTACTAACGTTATCTTCATCAATTTGACCTCTACAAAAATACCTGCCTGGATTATATTCACATAAGCAGTGCCCCAGATACACTCACGTGCTTTTTTGTTGTATTGTGTTTATTTGCTCATTTAAAAATTTTTTTAACGTTTATTTATTTTTGGGAGACAGAGAGAGACAGAGCATGAATGGGGGAGGGGTAGACAGAGAGGGAGTCACAGAATCTGAAGCAGGCTCCAGGCTCCGAGCCATCAGCACAGAGCCCGAGTGGGGCTCGAACCCATGAACCATGAAATCATGACCTGAGCCAAAGTCAGACACTCAACCGACTGAGCCACTCAGTCGCCCCTATTTGCTGATTTGTAAATACTAAAGAATGTCTATATTGCTCAAAAGCAGCCAAATGACAAATACTGCATTTTCAATGGGCAGTGGATTGCAGTCACCCAACCAGGAAACTACAACAATTTCTTTAATGTATCAGTGTGGTCCCAAGGTCCAGACCAGCTGCTGTAAGACCTTTGACCTTTAAGTGTCTTACATTTCTCTTGCTGCTTGTGAGGAGAAAAGAAATTTAATTTGGAATGCCGTAAAAATATTTTAAGGATGTTTTTTACAACTCACCTGCAGAAACAAAATATGTTACCTGTAAATTAAAATCTTTCTGACAATTACGGTGATTCGTAATCAACACGAATACACACACTGTACATTCTTCGACAGTTAATATCAAAAGGAAAAAAATCTGATTTTATAAACAGCAGTAGAATGAAAAAACAATAATTATTATTAAACTTCACCAGAAGACCATCTAGAAAGAAATGACTGCTTAATTAGTGACACAACTGACGTGAGCAGCTGATAGCCTGCCCGTCCTTTTTAAGCAACATGTGTTCAAACTGTGTATCTGCCTTCCCCTCTTCCACCACATAGCTGAGAAAAGATGATGGGTACCCAGGGATGGAGCTAACAGAACCCTCCTTTACTTAGCCTGTGCCACCGAGAGATGGATTTCCAACTGGTCTTCACTTAGAACAAAGCCATCATACCAGTTGCCACTGGGTGTTGGGTCTATGAGTAATAGATTTTTTTTAAACTTCAAGTTTACCACTTCTCTATAATGGGATGTATTACTCTTCTAATGCAAAGGCCATTCTAACTGACCAAAGAGAACATATATGCTAGATCAGTGTTCTATTTTTAACACCTGACCATTAAGAAGAGCTTCTAAGTGTCCTTGTAATTTCCTTCTCTCTTCCTCTCTTGGGGGTGGCTTGGGTTTCCACTGGCCAAGACAAAGACACGCAGGATTCCACACTTTGGGGGTTTGGGTCAGATCTGCCTGGGATTTATAAAAATGATACTGCAAGAAGTCCCATAGTTTTCTGGATGGCTAGGAATTGTAACATTTATGAGGTCCTTATTGCGTCTAGGGCCATATTCTTCTGGGCACAACAGAGAGAAACGAACGGCAGTAAAGATGGTCTTTATTTATGAAGAACTCAAAACATGATCAAGGGCATGAAGGACAGAAAAATACCTTAATACAAAGGTGGAGGCTAACATAGTGCAAACCAAGATGTTAATGTGGAAGAGGGTGGGGAAAGTTGTCAGAGCCCACTGGGGGCCATGCCTCCAAGGTTTTCAGAAGCTGTCACGATGCCGTCTTCTCTTTACTTCCAATGCAATTTGCTTTTCTCCAAGAGCTAGTAGAAGGGGATACTCTGGAGACACAGAAAAGCTCCTAGTTGGGAAAGTGACCTGAAGCAGTGCTGAGCAAACTTGTCGGGTCCAGGTTAGTACTCCTGTCTGAGACAGCACTCAAGTTTCAAGGCAAACATATTTTCAGCATATGATTTTAGAAAACTAAGTGTAACTGATTTATTTGAAGGTTGGCAGTACTTCAAGGAAAACCAACATTTCCTATGAAATTACTTGCTTTCCACTCTGACTAAACAGGCAGAGACTGATCTGGGAGTAGAAGCGTTCAAACTCTTAAATGTTGCCCATGTCCCTCATTGCACAATGCCAAAAACAACAAAAAACTGCAAAAGGTCATGTTCTTTTTTTCCTTATAAAAATGGCTCCTTTTCCCCCCTAACATCCAAGTGCTCAACATGTCACTTTTTAAAACATTTTTTTAGTTTATTCTTGAGAGAGAGAGACAGCACATGAGCAAGGGAGGGGCAGAGAGAGAGGGAGACACAGAATCTGAAGCAGTCTCCGGGCTCTGAGCTGTCAGCACAGAACCCAATGTGGGGCTTGAATCCACAGGCCATGAGATCATGACCTGAGCCAAAGTCAGACGTTTAACCGACTGAGCCACCCAGACGCCCCTTAACATGTCACTGTTTAACTGCCCTTCATCTGTAAAAAGCTTCCGCGCTTGTTGACACGGTTCCGAAGTTACTGCTGGTACTAGAATCTGAGAAGAGTTTTTCCTGGAGGTACACACAAGTGGGAACTGAAGAAATGACCCAAGTTGAGCATCAAAAGGGGAGTGAAAGGGCATCTGCAGCCACGCCTTTGGCTCGGAGGAAATCCCTTCAGTGCAGCTGGCTTTTCCAAATGGATTGTCTGTGGGACTAACGGCACAGGGAGTTCAAGCCAACGTTAGCCTGGGAACCAAGCTGAGGACCCAGGTCTCATCAGTCAGGGGTCTCAGGCCACACACAGTCACCTCTCAGTGCTTCTCCTCTGGCACCAAAATGAGCTGCTCACACCAATCTGCCTCAGCAGATTCCTGTTGAGTGAGGCACAAATGATAAGCAGTAGACGTCAAATAAGGTATTAAGATGAAATGTTAAGGATGGTTTCTCTTTTCCCACTAACATGGTGAGAAGAAATATTACACGTCTGCCTTTAGGTCATGAAGAAGGATGAGCAACGTAATTATACTTCCAGAAATAAATGAGCTTTCCACTCCAGCATGTGGATGTGAGCTACCTGGCCGGAAGCCATGGCGCTGAACTGAACCTGAATTCTGGACAGATCCAAGTCAACAACTGTTCCCCCACCCCACCCCACACCAGTACAGTGATGTTTCTCTTCTACAATCTCTTCTCCATCTTCCTTTGTGCCTGAGAACAATGAGCCCGTGCAGAGTACCTTCCATGGACCTTCAAGCCTGTATTTTGAAAACTCTCTGGAGTTTCCAGAAGAGCCTGCCTTCACCAGAGGCAAGGAGAGCATCTGCTTGTGAGGTGAGGGGGGCAGGGGTGTCTGGGCCTCTTCACTTAATCATCTGGGTTTCTTCATCCGCATCGAAAAACTCCTCCTCTTCCTCACTTTCACTCCCTAAAGTGTTCTCCTTGTCCCCAGACTGAAATGGAAAAGGAGACCAAGGGCAGTCAAGTGGCACCATGACATTTCTAAAATGGAAATTATTACCTAGCATTCGACACACAGACACATTTTATGATATCTATTTCCCCTAAGAATCGGCCCTGAAGTGAATGAATCACTGGCCATCTTTATGTCTCTCAAAAAATCAGCTGCCATTAATCCCACCTTTGTTTTCTGGCAGTTTTGCTTAGTTCTACTAAATCTAACCAGAATATTCTTCTTCTTTTTTCTTTCCTGAACTCTCATCATCTGAATGATAAAGAGAAAACTACTGCCCGCCTGTACCTGTGGGGGATCCAAGGTCTGTAAGGACAGCGCTTCCTCCCCCAGCCTCCGATATGAATACACCTGAAGGTCAGAAATCGTCTCCAGCAGTGGGCTGTTAAGGGTTTCTGGCAATAATAAACTCAGGAGGCCCGAAGCCAGGCCAGTGGCTCCAAAGACAATGAAGGGTAAGGACCGTTGCACATATTTCTGTGGGGGCAGAGAGTAGAACAAAAACATACGAAAACTGAGCATGGGTTTCCCAGCACATGACGTCAGCAGCGTATGACCGAGGGACTGCCCCGGTTACTCTCCAACCCGGCCTCCCCCTAGAACGCACTGTCAGGCACCTGTTTGCCCATTGAGAGTCACCCTGGAAGATGGCTGAGTGGTCGCTCAGGCACACAGAAGTGGGGGCGAGAACATAAAAAGGCAGCAGAAGCAGTGGGGAGGGGAGGGCTTTCGCTCCAGGCAACTCACTTAAAACACGGGCATCTGCACGTACTCTTCGCTTGGGAGACCCCCCAAATACTTGCTCGTGATGGACTTCCAAGTTCTCAGCCCTGGAATCGGCCAACTGAGCCCACGCTTGCTTGCTCATTCACTTAGCACCACAGCCAGGGGGACAGGGGTTAAAGATGTCAACACCCCGTAAAGAAAGAGAGAAGCCCGGAGAACCAAGCACACCATGTGTTCTGGAAACTACCTGAACCGAACACAACACTTCAAGATTGCTTCAGAGACATTCTTGGGAATATTTACGTAGTTTCTTTAAACACAAGCCGGTTCAGGGTGCCTGGGGGCTCAGTCGGTGAAGCGTCCCACTTCGGCTCAGGTCAGGATCTCACAGTTCCTGAGTTCGAGCCCTGCGTCGGGTTCTGTGCTGACGGCTCAGAGCCTGGGGCCTGCTTCACATTTTGTGTCTCCCTCTCTCTCTGCCCTACCCCCACTTGCACTCTGTCTCTGTTTCTCAAAAATGAATAAATGTATAAAAAAATGGAACACAAACAAGATAACACAGAAGACTATCTTTGTGGGGTGCTTCTCTGGGGCACTTGTGAGCAGATTAACATTCTTAAATGCGTGCACAGGACTGGCTTAGCAGGATCGCCTTCTTGCTTGGGCTTCTGAACTCTGCGGATAGGACTGCTACTAGTTAGGATCTCCTCTTGGAGAGTAAGTTCCTGATTTTTCAGAAGTAAAGAGATGATGGAGATGATGGAGAAGTTGGCAGGGGAGAATGGAGATGATGGGGAGCAGGGAAGAGAGAATCCCACCTCCGGGCGCCCATGTGGAAACACGGGTCCAACACGTGGGTGTGTCACTGAATCAAGGTGGACCGATGCTCTGACCTCTCCTCAACCGAGCAGGCATTGGTAGAGACCGAGCACTGGGTTTCTTAGCAGCCCAGGAGGGCCACCCAAAGTCGGAGCTCTTTGGAGACAACCCCCCGATACATTTTGCAGAATGGAGCTAATCCATATGAGGGTCTTGTAACGTGAAATTAACCATGAAACGTGAAAAGCGATGCTCATGAAAAGGAAGGGTGCTCAGAAAAGGAAAGGCATTTCCAAGTCGTCCGCTTGTACTGATGATACCGGGAAACCAATGGGACCCTTTGAGATTTAAAAAAAAAAAAAAAAAGCTGTTTTTTAGCTTTGCTGCTTTACCTGTTTGTATTCTTGCTAAGACCTGCAGCCTCACCCCCACACGTCCCATGCCTGTAATGTAAACAGCATATGTCCTTGTAAGGGGCAAGGAGTTAATGATTTCTCTAGAACAGATAACATCTAAGGAAGAGGCGAGCGAGAATGACCAGACGAAGCTATTGTATGTGCGTATTCCAGACCCTGGGGTAGACAGCTCACCGCCCTGTCTGGCTCCAAGGAGTACTACATGGGCTGTCATCTGTGTCCTAACCGGTTCCTGGATGGCTGAGAGGACACGGCCCCCAGACCCCTGTCCTCCCAAAAAACCCTGATTCTGAACATCGACAAGATCTCTCCTTTCCTTCCTGAACCTCGCAGACACTCACTCTGTGTGTATCTGCTCTCTCTGTGTCTTCAATAAACTGCTTTCACCTTTTGGGGGGTGGGCAGGTGGGACCCCCTCCGGGTGCGCGGACCTGGCTGCCAGCACGGCTGGCAAGTGGCGAGAGGAACTGCCTGACTGAGGAAGAGCCGTCCACACACCAAATCCAGCCCGCCTTCGATGGGGCCCAGCTGGGAAGGCCACGGGTCCCACCGAGCGCAGACACCCGAGGGACTCCGAGGACTCTGTCAGGAACCTGAACATTTCAAGATCAGAAGGATTCTCAGGGCTGCCATTTAATCTATCCCCTTTCTTTTGACTATGAAATTTAGAAAATGCTAGAAACCCTTACTAGACACACTGCTAGGCCATATTTCCTCTTCTAATTTTCTTTTTAATTTTTTAACGTTTATTTATTTTTGAGAGACAGAGTGCACATGGGGTAAGGGCAGAGTGAGAGGGAGACACGGAATCTGAAGCAGGCTCCAGGCTCTGAGCTGCCAGCACAGAGCCTGACTCAGGGCTCGAACCCACAAACCGCGAGACCATGACCTGAGCCGAAGTTGTACGCTTCACCGACTAAGCCCCCAGGCGCCCCCTAACTTTCTTTTCTAAGTGGTATGCCCTTGAGCAAGTTACTTAATCTGCTTCTGCTGACCTTCTCAAGTTTAACAGAGGATAACAATAACGCCTGCCTCACGGGGTTACTGAGAACATTACATGAGATGCTATATGCTGAAGTGCTCAGCATACAGCCCAGCCCGCAGCCAAAGCTTAAGAAATATTCGCTGACTAACCAATGAGTAGAGGCAGGAAGGGGCAAGCTGGCCTTCGCTAACTCTCCGGTGAATGCGGATCAGAGCACAGTCAGAGCCTCTGATACGAGTCCCTCCACCCAGAGGGATCCCTAACCTACAGCGTCCTTAATCTAAAAGATGCAGGCTTCACACAGGCTGATCGTTCATTCACCACTTTCCACTCAAAGGCATAAGCATTTCCGAGGCAGAACATCAAGAAAAACGAAACTAGGAGGCACAAACCAACCAGTGAAGGGACGAAGGGAGCAAGAATCCCACCAACTCGGGAGAACATGGAACACGTTCCGAGCCCAACGTTCCTGGAAGGAATAGAAAAGGGAGGGGCGGTCAGTAAACTCTGGGTGGACTTTAAAGATGCTACGGGACAGTGGGCCTAGAGTAGTGAGTCCCACAGTGGAGGAGGCACAGGCTGCTGTGGAGCAGTGCTGCTTACTGGAACATTCTGAGATGCTGGGAATGTCCTATAACTGCACCGTCCAGTACGGAAGCTGCTGGAAGCCTGCGGCTGTGAGCCCTTGAAATGTGGCTAGGGAGAATGAGGAACTGGATTTTTTTAAAATGTGTATTTATTTTTGAGAGAGACAGAAAAAAAAAAGAGAGAGAGACAGAGTGTGCACGGGGGAGGTGCAGAGAGAGAGGGAGACACAGAGTCCGAAGGAGGCTCCAGGCTCTGAGCTGCGAGCACAGAGCCTGATGCGGGGCTCAAACTCACAAACCATGAGCTCTATGACCTGAACCTAAATCAAGAATCAGAAGCTTAACTGACTGAGCCACCCAGGCACCAAAATGGGTCTATTATTTTACAAAAATTTAAAGTTTATTTTTTTTTTGAGAGAGAGAGAGAGAGACAGTATGCACAGGAGAGAGGCAGAGAGGGAGACAGTACAAAGCAGGCTCCAGGCTCTAGGCTCTGAGCTCTCTGCACAGAGCCCGATGTGGGGCTCAAACTCATAAGCCGTGAGATCATGACCTGAGCTAAAGTCAGACGCTTCACTGACTGGGCCACCCAGGCACCTCAAGGAACTGGATTTTTAATTTATGTCACTTTAATTGATTTAAATTTAATAGTCACATGAGGCTAGTAACTACCACACTGGACAGTGCAGTTAGGATAGAGGATGGCACAGAAATGGCCATGTGACCATTTCTTGTCAAATGTTCTCATGGGGTTTTGTGTGTGAGGTTTCCTATGAATTAATATAGCCACGGAGAGGCAGGGCTCTGTGATCTGAGAACATTGCCCATTTCCTTAAAGTCAAGTAACTGGCGATTAAAGGGTCAGGCATATAAATAGGAACTGACTGAGCACATCTTCTCGGTAAACCAGGAGCATTACGTTTATGAGGAGTGTGGACACGCAAGAGGGGGTAGGGGCGGGAAGGAGAAGGGTTACAGGCAGGGTGGCCATCCATCACGCTCTCACCCACTCAGGGTTAGTAAGGCCCATATTCATTCCCAAAACTGTCCCAGTTTGGACAAAATGATCACCCTAGTTTTATAGCCAGCAGGCAGAGAGAACAGGTCAGAGGAATAATTAGGAAATGACTAGTCAATCACGGGAAGTCTGGGGAAAACTGGGGGAAAAGGGGCCTTAAATTCATAGGCAGAAAGAACCGTTAAGTTTGTGCGGGTGCGGGAACCTGTGGAACGCTGCTCCAAAGGACTAGGGAAGGGCTGACCTAGGGAGTGCCCACTGGGCTCGCAGAGGCGATTCTGAGGCGGCTAAGCTGGGTCCCTGCCCTTCAAATTTCCGTGTGTGATTCATTTTCTGACTTCTTTTAGGAGGGGATGCTTCGGATAGAACATGTTTTTAATATAAGCATGTCCTACTCGTTAGAAACCACATTTAACAACTAATATGTAAGCCTCATCTTCAGTTATTACTATATGGAATTATCTTTTTTTAGGTTTATTTATTTATTTTGAGAGGCAGAGCTTGATTGAGGGGAAGAGCAAGGGAGGGGCAGAGAGAGAATCCCAAGCAGGCTCTGCACTGTCAGTGTGGAGCCTTACATGGGTCTCAAACTCACGAACTGTGAGAGCATGATGTGAGTGGAAATCAAGAGTCGGACGCTCAACCAACTAAGCCACCCATGTGACCCTGGATTATCTTTTTTAAATGTGTATATCTTGTGTTGAAATGTAGGTTCTGGGAGAACAGGGACCCCAGTCCCCTTGTCTGTCTGTGCCTGACGAAGGATGAGTGACTGAATAAATCAAGTCCGCAGAAATAAAAATGGCATCCGAGCTCTATTTGATTGATGAGATGTGCTTAGCGGAGAGTGCCTCTCTCCCGGTTTACACGAGGGGGTTCGGCCCAAAATACAGCTATGCTTTCCTCAGCCAAATGGGCCAAGTGTGGTCTACACAGACAGTTTCTGGGCTTGCAGCTGCTCGTGGAAGTGTTGCTGGCCCCCGCCGCCTACACGCCCAGTGGAATGAGAACCATACCTCTGTTGCCGTGAGCATCTACAGCGAAACATGCGGGATGTGAGGCGCACCTGATGGCCGTGGGGTACAGCTCAGACGTGTAGATGTACACCACGTTAAAGGCAGCACTGATCGTCAGCTTCCCGAGCAGAGCCAGGGAATGGCTGTTCACCACTGCAAGCACGCCTGTGCCTGAGGAGGACAAGGGTTAAGAGCTGTGAGGTCCTTCCGGGGGAAAATTCCTTTCAGTGACACGTTTAATCCTATAGGAGCCAGAGGCATTCACTTGACCTCAAACAGTGAGGAGGTGGTATAACTGAACACACGTTCAGAAGGTTTAGTGAGCACACGCAACACACACACACACACACACACACACACACACACACACACACACACAAAGAATCTTCCGTGTCTTGGCCGTCCCTGTGAAGGCTTCCAACATGGCAGTCATTATGGAGGTTGAACTTGCCCGCTCTTCAATGGCAGAGCTCTTGGAATGCTTCTGTAGGGTAGTAAAGCAAGCTTCATGGGGATCATAAGTCTTGCCCAGCACGGGGGCTACTCGCCTCTCCTTCCCAAGCTTGTTCCCCACCCAGTGATGTGAAATGGTGGTTTGCATGATGGGCCTTGGCATATGTGGAGGAGGTCTGACACATGTAAGAGACAGAGGCAAGGTCCAGAAAATCTCCTCTCTGCAGGTTGTATTTCCTGGTGTTCCATTGGAGGATAAGGAATAATCCCATTAAATTACAATCAGAAGGTATAAAACATTAATGTTCTTTAAAGAAAGACTCTCAACATGGAACTACTTCTAATCTTTCTTCCTCTCCAAACTCCTACTTGAATTACTAATCGCCAATGACAGTGCAATTTCTTAACATAACATTTTTACATAAAATGCAAAAATACATTTTATGGCAGTTCATTTCCCTATCAAAAATATGATCAGGGGCACCGGGGTGGCTCAGTCGGCTAAGCCTCTGACTCTTGGTTTTGGCTCAGGTCATGATCTTGCAACTTTGTGTGTTTGAACCCTGCATGGGGCTTTGTGCCAACAGTGCAGAGCCTGCTTTGGATTCTCTCTTTCCCTCTCTCTCTGCACGTCCCCAACTCATGCTGTCTCTGTATCTCTCAAAATAAATAAATAAACTTTAAAAAAATATTATCAGGGCACCTGGGTGGCTCAGTCAGTTAAGCGTCCGAATTCGGCTCAGGTCATGATCTCATGATTCATGAGTTCAAGCCCCGCATCAGTCTCTGTTCTGACAGCCCGGAGCCTAGAGCCTGCTCTTGATTCTGGGTCTCCCTCTCTTTCTGCCCCTCCCCTGCTTGCTCTCCCTCTCTCTCTCTCTCAAAAAAAAAAAAAAAAGCCACTAAAAAATTTTAAGAATACTACCAATTATCTCACGGTTCTTTCCTTTATTAACATTATTCTCCCTGGGATCTTACAATGTAATTAATCCCTTTCAAACATATTTAACCTCTCCCTTCCATAACGCACTCATCTCTGCTTTCAAAATAACAATTTCTCCTTCTGAGGAAAAAAGAAATCCTATTGACTCGGTTGTACTTTCTCCCTTTGCTAGCAAACATCTTCAATGAGTGAGCAACTCTCTGTTGCCCTCTCTGCATTTGCCCTGTAGCTCACTGTGTTCTGACTTCTAATAGCATCCTCTCCTGAAAGTCCTACTCTTGAAGGTCAACAGTGAAGTCCTAATCACCAAAGTAATTGCCTCTCATTGCCCTTGACATTTCTGCCAAATAGAATACACTTGTCCCTTCCCTGGGACAGCTTGCAGGGCTCACAGAAACCACTCCACCCTTAAAAGCTCAAAAGCAATATCCTTTCCTCCTTATTTCCTGATCCATTAAGGTGGCATGCTGCAGACACACTTCTGTAGTTGCTTACTTTTCCGTCTTGTCTGCCCCAAATATATTTTGAGTTACTCCAGGCGAAAGCTGGTATCCTGTTTGTATCTGTGCCCCTCACTGCATACCATCTGCGGTAGTACAGTACTCAGCAGTGCTCACTACATATCTGTGGAACAACTAAGTAGAAGGACTACAATAGGGATTAATTTGGTGAAAAGAATCTGTGTTCAGGTTCTTTCGACTTCTAAGGAGGGGGTGATTTAAACACGCTATCCTCAAGTGTGTTTCACCTTCCCTGCTTGACGATGAAATAAATCTTCACCTACTTTAAAGATGGCGTCCCGAACACAGTGGCCCAGGTACTGCCAAATCCGACCATCTGGGGCTTTCTCCTCCTCTGCCAGGCTGTTTGGAAGAACATGCTAGTTCTTTTAAGGGCTGAATATATTATTTTTAGCCATGGGGTGCTTCTAGAAAAACAACAATGCTTCTCAGCACTTTCCCCAAGATATATGTCTGCACTTGAGATCTAACAATCTCTTCAATTAAACCGAAAATAAGGCAATTCATCAAAGGCATTTATTTTCCAGAAAACTTAGTGTGTCAATAAAAGGTGGCCTTGACACAAACAGAAATGTGCATATTTGCTTTACTGCAAATGATCTCTGGGACTATTTTCAATCCATACAGGATGGCGTCTTTCAGAACTGTAGAGTGACACTCTAACATCCTTAACAACAGGTTAGGGGGTTGCCATCCTGAAAACTGAATTCTAGTGGCACACCACAGAAGACTTTACAAAAAAATTCTTTTAGTGTTTATTTATTTTTGAGACAGAGAGAGACAGAGTGTGAGTGGGGGAGGGGCAGAGAGAGACACACACAGAATCCGCAGCCGACTCCAGGCTCTGAGCTGTCAGCACAGAGCCCTACATGGGGCTCAAACTCACGAACCATGAGATCATGACCAGAGCTGAAGTTGGATGCTTAACAAACTGAGCCACCCAGGTGCCCCCAAAAGACTTTTATCTAGACACCCACAGGATCCAAAGCTGTAAGAAGTCTTTTGTGTGACGCTCAGGACACTTCCAGCTGTAACCCATTTGTGGGGCGTGGCTCTGGCCGTGTACCGGTGCTTGCAGCAGCCCAACACCTCAGCAGATGCCTGAAACTTCTCTTGTGCGGTCCTGCCAATGGAGTCTGAGTCACCACTCGAATCTGGGGGGAGTTCACTTTAACCCAAGGTAGCCCATGTCGATTTCAGACAGCTCTGTTGATTAGAAAATTCCTCATCTAATAAAGGGTCAGTATCTGAAATCTATAAAGAACTTACCAAACTCAACACCCCAAAACCAAATAACCCAGTGAAGAAATGGGCAGAAGACATGAATAGACACTTTTCCAAAGAAGACATCCAACAGACACATGAAAAGATGCTCAACATCGCTCATCATCAGGAAAGTACAAATCAAACCCACAATGAGATACTACCTTGCACCTAGAGAGGCTAAAATTATCAACTCAGGAAATAACAGATGTTGGTGAGGATGTGGAGAAACGGGAACCCTTTTGCACTGTTGGTGGGAATGCAAACTGGTACAGCTCACTCTGGAAAACAGTATGGAGGGTCCTCAAAAAATTAAAAATAGAACTACCCTATGACCCAATAATTGCTCTATTAGGTATTTATCCAAGGGATACAGATATGCTGATTCAAAGAGGCACAAGCACCCCACCATTTATAGCAGCGCTATCAATAACAGCCAAATTATGAAAAGAGCCCAAATGTCCACTGACTGATGAATGGATATAGAAGATGTGGTTTATGAATACAACGGAATAGTACTTAGTGATGAAAAAGAATGCAATCTTGCCATTTGCAACAATGTGGATAGAACTAGAGAATATTATGCTAAGCAAAATAAATCAGAAAAAGACATATGTCATATGATTTCACTCATATGTGGAATTTGAGAAACTTGACAGATGAACATAGGGGAAGGGAAGGAAATATAAGATAAAAACAGAGATGGAGGCAAACCTTAAGAGACCCTTAAATACAGAGAACAAACTGAGGGTTGCAGGAGGGGATGTGGGTGGGGGATCGGTTAAATAAGTGATGGGCATTAAGGAGGGCACTTTTGAGGATGAGCACTGGCTGTCATATGTAAGAGATGAATAGTTCTACCCCTGAAGCCAAGACTATACAGTATGTTAACTAACTTGAATTTAAATTTTAATAAAAAGGAAATTATTTCTTATCCTTTTTAAAAAAAAGTGTATTTATTTTAAGAGAGAGAAAGGGATGAGCAGAGAGAGAGGGAGAGCGAATCCCAAGCAGGCTCCATGCTGTCAGTTCAGAGCCCGATATGGGGCTCAAACTCACAAACTGTGAGATCATGAACTGAGTCAAAATCAAGAGTTGGGGGTTTAACCGACTGAGCCACCCAGGTGCCCCTCTTATCCTCTTTGAGTCTCCTTCCTGGGGAGGTTCTAGACTCTTGGGTCATCCTGGATCAATATTTAGGAGTGCTTTGTAGCCACTGGGCTAAATCCTTTGATTCTTGACCTGGGTTCTTTATCTGAAAATAAAATCAGATATTACTATCTACTACCAGTGAATATCCAAAGTGACTGTTTAGAAAAAAAGAGTGATTTAAAAAGGAAAATTAAACTCAATTATCTTTGAGGGAAAAAGGCAATTCTTAAAACACCTGCATCCTTCACAGCACTATATTCAAGAGGTTATCAGTTTTTTCCAATGATGCAGTTGTACGAACATCATTCTTGGTACTAGCTATCAGCAAGTTTCCTTAGAGCCCATTTGAGGTCATCAGGACAAAAAGTACGTTTTAGTCACATTTCACTGACCCAAAATAGTAAAAATTAAACTTAATCATCCACTTCATTCACTAGGTGATTATGGCAAATTTGTGATGGCTCGTGTATATGTTAAAATTCTTTAAGACAGTGGTATGCCCTCTGCTAGGATACATAATTATGGGTAAAACCCCACAATTCATTTGCTTCCTGTTTGTTTTTTAAAGAAATATACCCTAAATGCACAAAGTCCTGTCACTATAGCTTCACCATTTCTAAAATTTCACATGAAAGAAATGATTCAGTTTGTGGACTTCTGTGTCTGGTGTCTTTTAGTTAGCATTAATGCTTCTGACATTTATCTGTGTTATTGTGGGTACCCGTAGGTCACAGTTCAATCCTTTTGTTATAGTTGTTAAGTAGTACTTCACTGTATGAATATGCCACAGTGTGGTATGGTGGATTCTTCCAATGGTGGGTATTGGGGTCCTTCCAGTG